CCCCCCCCCCCAACTACACTTCCTACACTTATACAGACTGGATCGCCGTCCACACTGACATTCTCCAGGGCAGACTGGCGGAGTGTACAACCCCTGAGAACTGGTCAAAAGTGGGAGGCACGTCCAATGCTGAGGCTCGCCATCTTGTAATTTTTTGTCCTGTCTGAGACATGTCACTAATATTAGTAATTAAAGTAAATCTGGATGGTCGAATCTAAATAATTAAAGAGATAAATAAATTAATAAACCAATAAAGACCCACACACACCACAGGGAGGCAGTCTTCCCCTTTAGCGCCGCCGCTAGAGGATATATATGCACACACATACATACATACACACACACACACACACACATACACACACACACACACATACACACACACACACACACACACACATACACACATACACAAGACACGTGTATATATATATATATATATATATATATATATATATATATATATATATATACATACATACATACATATAATGTACACACACGTGTGTATGTGTATACTTGTATGTATATATATACACACGTGTGTGTGTGTGTGTGTGTGTGTGTGTGTGTGTGTGTGTGTGTGTGTGTGTGTGTGTGTGTGTGTGTGTGTGTGTGTGTGTGTTTGCACAAATTAAATCAGATGGAATTCGATGATTCATCTCTCCTTCAAGTGTTTCGTTGATGACCTAAGTTTAAGCTTTGTTAACTTAAACAACCATTTTGTTGATACCGCTATTTTGTCATACAATTTATGACTGCACTCGAGCAAATCTTGATCAGTTAATCCCATTGCGTCAGATGCACATCGTTTATTATTTAATCTATCTAATTTTTAATGGCTTTATTTTATTTATCTCTCCACCTGGGGTTCCATCGGTAACAATAAATGATAAAAATCTTCCTCTCTTTATCTTGCATGATGACGTAAAACAGACGAACTATATATAGTACTTCAAACGTTTTGATAAGTTATAAAAACAGCTTGGAAATAACGTGTGCCAGTGCCAAAAAGAGGTACCAGTACCACAACTATCCAAACCTCAGCATAATAACCCAACCCCGATATAAACACAGACAAGCCGCTTCACTCCCAATATTTTTTTAATCGGGTTGTTGTCATCTTCCCTTTGATAAGATTTGGAAATGTCTACGTATCTGTGTCTGTACTTTCGGAAATCATATTTCTAACGCATCTAGCTAAATTCCACGGTTGCATCATCCCTGAAAATCGAAGGCTAGATAGTTCTTCCATACCTGGGTTTGTTGTGGTCATAGAAACGTTGGAAAAGAGTTATATTTGTTGATGTTTTTGCCTATTGGGCTGAGGGAACTTGGTGTCACGAAGTTTTTTAAAACAGGTCACCGGTCTTTTTATCTAGCAGCAAATGTTAGTATTTGTCCAGTCAGTACTTTAACACGATTTTTTAAAAGTCCCAATTAACCTCTTTCCTCTAGTCCAACTGAAACAAAATAATCACACGAGAAAAACAACAATTGAAACAAAAAGTAAAACAGAAAAGAAAGAAAACACACAGGGAAAAAACAATCCAAAGAAAGAAAACGGAGAGAAAAAAAGGAAAACAAACAATCCAATGAAAGAAAACGGAGAGAAAAAAACAAAACAGACTTCACACGAATGACATGAACTGCACCCGCCATTCCCCACCCGGCCGCCGCAGCGTATCATAGCGCTCGTGAACACCTAGACATACACGTCGGCCGCCTGTTATTTAGATCACCCGCCACCGTTATCTCACCGCAAGGTCATCACGCACCTCATCGCCCGCCCTGGAGCCATAAACATGCTGAGCTCGCGATAAGTGGGCGATAGACTGGTCTGCCGATGTCCGCACATCATATTGTAGTTGATTTTGATTATTAGATGGTTTGATTTAGTTTCGCTTTTGTTTTGAGAATAAAGTGTATTTCTCTGCATTGTGGCATTTGAGGAGCAACTGTAACGTATAATTATGATAACGCAAATAACATGATCCCAAACTATTCCTGGTGGATTTCTTACGCCCCCTTGACTTTCACGTGGATTCCCAGCAATCTCTTGAACTTCAGGTGGATTCCTAGCGCCCCCTTGGCTTCCAGGTGGATTCTTAGCGCCCCCTTGGCTTCCGACCTTATTTGACAGCTTAGCCCCCTTGGCTTCCCCTTGGCTTCCAGGTGGTTTCCTAGCGCCCCCTTGGCTTCCTTGGCTTCCATCCTTAGCGCCCCCTTGGCTTCCAGGTGGATTCTTAGCGCCCCCTTGGCTTCCAAGTGATTTCCTTGGCTTCCAGGTGAATCCTTAGCGCCCCCTTGGCTTCCAAGTGATTTCCTTGGCTTCCAGGTGAATCCTTAGCGCCCCCTTGGCTTCCAAGTGATTTCCTTGGCTTCCAGGTGGATTCTTAGCGCCCCCTTGGCTTCCTTGGCTTCCAGGTGAATCCTTAGCGCCCCCTTGGCTTCAGGTGGATTCTTAGCGCCCCTTCCAAGTGATTTCCTTGGCTTCCAGGTGGATCCTTAGCGCCCCTTGGCTTCCAAGTGATTTCCTTGCTTCCAGGTGATCCTTAGCGCCCCCTTGGTGTGATTTTCCTTGGCTTCCAGGTGCTTAGCGCCCCCTTGGCTTCCAAGTGATTTCCTTGGCTTCCCTTATTCCAAGTGATTTCCTTGGCTTCCAGGTGGATCCTTAGCGCCCCCTTGGCTTCCAGGTGGATTCTTAGCGGCTTCCAAGTGATTTCCTTGGCTTCCAGGTGGATCCTTAGCGCCCCTTGGCTTCCAAGTGATTTCCTTGGCTTCCAGTGGATTCTTAGCGCCCCCTTGGCTTCCAAGTGATTTCCTTGGCTTCCAGGTGGATTCTTAGCGCCCCCTTGGCTTCCAAGTGATTTCCTTGGCTTCCAGGTGGATCCTTAGCGCCCCCTTTGCTTCCAAGTGATTCCAGGTGGACTTAGCGCCCCTTCTTCAAGTGATTTCCTTGGCTTCCAGGTGGATTCTTAGCTTCCAAGTGATTTCCTTGGCTTCCAGGTGGATTCTTAGCGCCCCTTGGCTTCCAAGTGATTTCCTTGGCTTCCAGGTGGATTCTTAGCGCCCCTTGGCTTCCAAGTGATTTCCTTGGCTTCCAGTGGATTCTTAGCGCCCCTTGGCTTCCAAGTGATTTCCTTGGCTTCCAGGTGGATTCTTAGCGCCCCCTTGGCTTCCAAGTGATTTCCTTGGCTTCCAGGTGGATCTTAGCGCCCCCTTGCTTCCAAGTGATTTCCTTGGCTTCCAGGTGGATTCTTAGCGCCCCTTGGCTTCCAAGGATTTCCTTGGCTTCCAGGTGGATCCTTAGCGTGCTTCCAAGTGATTCCTTGGCTTCCAGGTGGATCTTAGCGCCCCTTGGCTTCCAAGTGATTTCCTTGGCTTCCAGGTGGATCCTTAGCGCCCCCTTTGCTTCCAAGTGATTTCCTTGGCTTCCAGGTGGATTCTTAGCGCCCCCTTTTGCTTCCAAGTGATTTCCTTGGCTTCCAGGTGGTTTCCTAGCGCCCCCCTTGGCTTCCAGGTGGTTCTTAGCGCCCCCTTTGCTTCCAAGTGATTTCCTTGGCTTCCAGGTGGATTCTTAGCATGGCTTCCAGGTGGATCCTTAGCGCCCCTTGGCGTCCAGATGGATTGGTAGCGCCCCTATGCTTCCAAGTGGATTCTTAGCGCCCCCTTGGCTTCCAAGTGATTTCCTTGGGTTCCAGGTGGAAGCGCCCCCTTGCTTCCAAGTTTCCTTGGCTTCCAGTGGATTCTTAGCGCCCCCTTTGCTTCCAAGTGATTTCCTTGGCTTCCAGGTGGATTCTTAGCGCCCCCTTGGCTTCCAAGTGATTTCCTTGGCTTCCAGGTGGATTCTTAGCGCCCCCTTTGCTTCCAAGTGATTTCCTTGGCTTCCAGGTGGATTCTTAGCACCCCTTTGGCTTCCAGGTGGATCCTTAGCGCCCCTTTCCAGCGCCCCTATGCTTCCAAGTGGATTCTTAGCGCCCCCTTGGCTTCCAAGTGATTTCCTTGGGTTCCAGGTGGATCCTTAGCGCCCCTTTGCTTCCAAGTGATTTCCTTGGGTTCCAGGTGGATCCTTAGCGCCCCTTTGCTTCCAAGTGATTTCCTTGGCTTCCAGGTGGATTCTTAGCGCCCCTTTGCTTCCAAGTGATTTCCTTGGCTTCCAGGTGGATTCTTAGCGCCCCCTTGGCTTCCAAGTGATTTCCTTGGCTTCCAGGTGGATTCTTAGCGCCCCCTTGGCTTCCAAGTGATTTCCTTGGCTTCCAGGTGGATCCTTACATTCCCTTATCCAAGTGATGGATCCTTAGCGCCCCCCTTCAAGTGATTTCCTTGGCTTCCCGCCCCCTTGGCTTCCAAGTGATTTCCTTGGCTTCCAGGTGGATTCTAAGCGCCCCCTTGGATTCCAAGTGATTTCCTTGGCTTCCAGGTGGATTCTTAGCGCCCCCTTGGCTTCCAGGTGGATCCTTAGCGCCCCCTTGGCGTCCAGATGGATTGGTAGCGCCCCTATGCTTCCAAGTGGATTCTTAGCGCCCCCTAGGCTTCCATGTGGATTCCTTGGCTTCCAAGACGATTCGTAGCGCCCCCTTGGCGTCCAGGTGGATTCCTAACGGCCCCTTAGCTTCTAATTTGATTCCTAGCGTCCGCTCTCTTAAATACATTTGCAAACACTTTTCCTAATGGTATGCTTCAAATTGAAAACAACAAGATTAATCACAAATAAGTACTTCACAATTAAAACCCAATCTAATAAACCAATTTATTTATTAGTTTTATATTAAGAAAGTGATTGATTAATCCTTAATACCATCCTGTCGCCTTCTTTTGACCCCATCCCCCCCCTCCGATCTTTCCACCACTCCGGTACTTTAGAAACCGATGCTATTATTATCTTTGTGTGAATATTGTTAAAAAAAACTATACTATTTTCAGGAGATACGGAACAATCCCTGAATATATTTTATTTTTAATTAGAGAGTACTTTCAATATACAAAGATTGTTTATTTATTTGTCTGTCAGTCTCCCCCCCCCCTCTCTCTCTCTTCCAAAGTTCCTTACGAACTATATCCGACAACAAAGGTTCCGAGTTGTTGGTCATATTTATGAGTTTATGAGACCGGGTTTTATGAGGTATGATCGCGCGTGTCTCGCTGAGAGGTAAACACACATGCCACATGATGTAAGGAGTGTTATTGGGTATTATTTCGCCTTTTTTTGTTGGGGGGGGGGGCTTCACTTCAAGAGAATAATGATTAATAAGGTTCAATCCAAAACCCGGTGTTCATTTTGGCAATGAAGTGACACTGATTTGGCATTGAAGGACGTATATTAACATATTTTTTAGTAATGCTATTTAATTTCGGTAATAAGGATTCAGACTGAAACTCAAGTTCCTTTTTCAAAATGAAATAGACATGTGCAAAAACCGCAACCCGGAACAAGCCAGCAAAGCATACTCAAAAACAGGAAAAAATCGTGACGTCATACGCTGTTGATGTTATCAAGGCTATATAAGGAGACTCGGCTCTATTTTGTTGTGGACGGAGGGATGGTGTGGCGCATTTTCCCTGCGATGAATATAGGAAAGAGACGCACAAACGCTACTCTGGCGACGGCTGCTGGTTTGTGCTTCATGTGCTGTGACTTGTAGGCTTACCTTACCGATGTTGCGGCATTTTGGACTTCCATATCGAACTGCGTGAAACGGCCGGAGCCATGGCTGACGAGAGAGAAACAGAAGAAGTGGGACTTCCGCCAGAACGCGAAGCTAGAGACAGTCGAGATGCGACCCGTAGCTTCGCGAGAAATGCCGGTTTATGTGTTCAGGATCGGTTGGCTTTCGACGAGGACCCGCCGTCGTACGAGATGATGTATCCTTCGAGCAGCGACGATAGAAACGCCTCAATCCTCAGCAACACAAATATCGACTGTGGCATCGTCTTGAGCCCAACCAACTTGAAAGAAAACACGAAATCTCAACCAAACAGCAACCAAATCGTCCCTCAAACACCACAAGATACGAAGGTGACGAGCAGACCTGCCATCAAACACGACGACTCCAAGCTGAAGCTGACGCAAGAAAATGAAAAGCCAGAAAAGGTCCTCCAAAGAAAAATCACACTGACCAAGCTTACGGAGACCCGCGAGAAGCTGATGGTTCAAGCTTCGGGACTGACAAAGGGCGCCAGGGAGACGCTTAGGTTAGTTCGTGTGGCGTTGCACTCTGGATACAGTTATTATTTATTTAATTATTTAGTTTTTTGATTTACTGCAAATCACATTCAAGACTCAAGTTAATGAATAGTCCATATTTACTGATTTAATTGACCACTTAAATAGCACGCACACGCATATGCGCGTACAGAGAGAGAGAGAGAGAGAGAGAGAGAGAGAGAGAGAGAGAGAGAGAGAGAGAGAGAGAGAGAGAGAGAGAGAGAGAGAGAGAGAGAGAGAGAGAGATTTATTGATTCCCATTTTAGCAAGTACACTAACTGCGATACCTATCACGATTTCAGAGAGTTCTGTCAGAAGACGACAGCCCACGGCTTCAGTCACGTGGTAGAAAAGGACATACACATAATTATGAGGATTTTCTGGGTCGTCGTCACTTTCGTCAGGTGGGAGCCACTCGTGACTGAGTCTTTCTATTTTTACCGTTACTCTTATATCATATTCTTCCATGGTTATATCACATTCTTTTATTTTTACTGGTTATTTTACTTTGCCAATGGCGACTTTTTTTTTACTTTTTAAACATTTTGTCACTTTTACGTTTCTACTTTTTAATTTGACCGCATTTGTTTTTCCTCTGCTCCTCCTGTGCAGTCTCGGGGCCTTGCTCTCAGTGGGTTACGACGCCACCTACGCCGCCTTCGTGACCAAGCGCCCCTACACGGAGGTGACCTACAGGAACAACCAGAGCACGGGGATCCGCCTTCCCGACGTGACCGTCTGCACTCTGTCGGGGTTCTGGAAGAGCAAGATGGAGCGTAAGGTCGCTTTTCGCTCGAGCAGTGATTTTGTTTCAGGCTTTTTGGGATCTATGTGTGTTTGTGACTGTGCGGAGTCGTGTGTGTGTGCGAGTGAGTGAGTGAGAGAGAGTGTGAGTGTGAGTGTGGTGTGTGTGTGTGTGTGTGTGTGTGTGTGTGTGTGTGTGTGTGTGTGTGTGTGTGTGTGTGTGTGTGTGTGTGTGTGTGTGTGTGTGTGGTGTGCGCGTACGTGTGAGTGCGTGCGTGCGTGTGTGTGTGTTTGTATGTGTGCATTTATATACATACACATATATATAGATATACATGTGTTTGTCTAAGCCTGTATGTGTTCGTGCGTCCACTGCAATATAAACCATATTCATATTTTTCCTACTTGCAACACCTGACACAGCATAACCCACGGCCAGCTAATACACACCTCGCTCCCTTCCCCACAGAGTACAACGTGAGCAAGACCCTGGCATCCTACCTCCTCCTGGCCGTCCGCGGAACAGAGGTCATCAGCCCCGTGTTGAGTCGTGACCCCAAAAGGATAATATTGTTAAGAGAAGAACTTCGGGAGTACCTGGAAGTCCACAAAGTCACCCTCGAGGAACTCATAATAATGCTTTCCCCAGGGTGAGTCGCTGGTAGTGGTTCTTCCTTGTAAGAGTCCAGTGTTCTTGTATGTTAATGGGTGGAGGTCCTTTCGAAAAAGTTTTGAATTTTTAATAGCATGGTTTGAAAAGGTATTTTGAATCTTCAGTCAGGGGTTGGGGATCATCACTTGGCCTTCTTTTTCATATTTAATTATCATGTTGTTTTGCTGTTTATTTGAGTCTTTAGTGATATTCTAATGAATTCATTTGTCCCCATCCTTCTTATCTCTTCCCATCTCATATTTTCTAATATATTTGTAGAAAAGGTATGAATGAGACTGGATATCTTCACAATACACGAGATGTATTTGCCGGGTTTCGATTACGTCTTCCTCAGAAATACATTTCTATTTCTGACGAAGACGTAATCGAAACCGGTCAAATACATCTCGTGTATTGGGGAGATATCCAGTCTCATTCATACCTTTTCCACATTTGTCAATATGGATATGGTTCATCTTTCTCATATTTAATAAAAATACCCGTCCAACTGGCACTACTAATGAAGACAAAGATCTCTGCGACCTACTGTCCGGTAGAAGAAACATATACTAAATGTATAAATATATCGGTATTTAATTGTTTCCAATGTAGCTATCTATAATGAAGTCACGTTGTATATACTGTATCGTCTTGATCTTGATATTGATGAGAGAAATGATGAAGGAGATAATTTTTCCTCGCTTTTCGCATGCTCAATTATCAGATGCGAGGAACTGGTGAAAGGATGCTACTCGGCGTCTGAGAGTATGAGTAGGTACGTGTTTCTTACTTTGATTAAAATAAAGGAAACTAAACCCAAAGAATCTTGGAGTGGATAAAACAACGTTATTGTTAGTATGTTTATTTTTGGCTTATTTCAAATATCTATATCTAAATCTTTGGTGTTTTCACATTTCGTCCTTTGTGCAGTGTTAATGGCTTTTTTTTAAAGAAAAACTTCTAAACATTCGTTCTGTGAAGCGAAACGCATGTAGCGAAGTCACAGGTAGTGCAAAAAGTATAGGCCCGGCACGCTCATCTACGCATTTTTTCCCCTTGTCAGTTCGTTAAATTAATACTATTTATCCTCTGCTGAAGTTCCGAGTGCTGCCAGACGGTGTTGAGGCCGACCATCACCACACTGGGCGTCTGCTTCACCACACTTAACCAGAATGGCTTGAGACTCAACCAGACCATCGCGGGCCTGGTTGGCGGCTACAGGATTCTCTTCGACGTCGCACTTCGCGAGTATATGGGTAGGTGTTCTCTCTCTCTCTCTCTCTATCCCTTCCTCCCTCCCTCTCTTTTTAACATATAGCATTTTTGCCGGTGGAAATTACAGCGATGGTCTCGAAATAAGTTTCCGGGTAATCCGAATAAGTTAGGGAAGGCAAAGAAAACTGGACAGAGAGAAACTGTGTCGTATCGCTTTTAGTGCCTCATTTCATTGTTTCTCCTCTTTTGATTTTATGAGACTAATATTTCGGTCATATTCTCTTTCGAGACAGTTGTAATCAATGCATTAGAAGCACAAAGTCTATTCCTACGATTGGAGATTCGGTTTTACTCACACATATTTTTGTCAATTCCATACCCAATGAAATACCAATCATAATAAGGTAGTCTAATAGAAACAGTGAACGTATCTCTTCAAACTATCGAAAAAATCTCACGAAAAAAGACGCAAGAATGTATGATTAAGTAACAACAATAATAACGAGACCGCACATTGCAGAATTCGACTACAACGTGGTGTCGACGACGTCCTTGGCCGAGGCGGGGATCCACGTCTCGCTCTCCAACTTCGCCAGCTCGCCCGCCGTCGCCGCCAACATCCAGGCCGTCCGGATCGCGCCCAACACCGCCGCCTCCGTTGCTCTGGACGTCACTAATGTAAGGACGGGGCGGGGAGGTCTCCTAAGGGTGAAAGAGGAATAAGGAGTGTGAGAGAGGGAGAGGAACCCCAGATTCTCGGGGCGGGGAGGTCTCCTAAGGGTGAAAGAGGATTAAGGAGTGTGAGAGAGGGAGAGGAACCCCAGATTCTCGGGGCGGGAAGGTCTGAAGATGGAAGAGGATTAAGAAGTGTGAGAGAGGGAGAGGAACCCCCAGATTCTCGCATGCAGAAAAGAATGAAAAGTAATCTTATCAATATTTAATAAATATATATATATATCATTCAAAACACCTAACGCCTGTTCAACAAGGACAGATTTTCAGAGCTTCGGCGAATCCAACTCACAATGCCCATCTTACGTACGATTTGGCCTTCACACAACCTCTCTCACGCGGCACACACTTTTTATTTTCTCAGATCGACCACACAGAGGTGTACCTGGACGCCTGGCTTCTGCCCAACCCGCGACCTCGGTGTGTGAGCGAGGAAAAATTCTGGGCCATGAGTGAGGAGGAGCGAGCCTACACGGGGAGCAACCAGTACTTCTCGTTGCTCTATCGAGACTGCCTTAACTATTACTTCAACTGCTCGTTCCTCCCGTTCATGTTCGCTAATGATACGACTAGTGAGTGATGTTTTTTTTTCGTAAAATGTAATTTGACAGTCTCTTCATTCGTTTACGGTTGTTAAATGAGTGGGTGTTTTTTTCAGACTCTCTCTCTTCCTCTTCCCCCTCCCTCTCCATTTTTTCTCTCACTCTCTCTCTTCCTCTTCCCCCTCCCTCTCCATCTCTCTATCTATCTCTCCCCTCCCTCCCACTTCCTCTCTCTCTCTCTCTTCCTCTTCCCCTCCCTCTCCATATTTCTCTCTCTCTCCCTCTCTTCCTCTTCCCCCCCCTCTCTCCATCTCTCTCTCTCTCTCTCTCTCTCTTCCTCTCTCTCTCTCTCTTCCTCATCCCCCTCCCTCCCCATATTTCTCTCTCTCCTTCCTCTTCCCCCTCCCTCCCCATATTTCTCTCTCTCTCTCTCCTTTCTAACCCCTTCCGCTCCCATCCTTCTGGTGTGTCACCTCTAAAATCAGCATTCCAAGAAGATATAAGTGAGCATTTATATGAAAGTTTGAGAGAGGTCCCACATGCAATATATATATATATATATATATATATATATATATATATATATATATATATATTATATATATATATAATGTATAGTCATATCTTCTAGAATAACTCTCAAACACCTTTTAACAACAGCCAAACAATTTCCAGGTGCTTGCATGCCAGAGATAACGCTCTACCAAAGCAAAATAAATGACGAGATGATGGACTGTGTTCAGAATCACTTGAGCCAGCTGGGTGGAGGTAGGATGCAAGTGAAAAGAAAATAGAGACGAAGAAAGAATTAATTAAGAAATAAAATAGGGAAGGAGAATAGGGGTATGATAATGAAAACAATAATAATAATGATGATGATGATAATAATGATATTGTTAATAATAATGATAATAATAATTATTATAACAACTACAGCAATAATAATACAACAATGATAGTAACAAGAACGAACAAAAGAGGAGAAACATCGGGAATAACTTCATGGTTTTATTTTTCTTACAGATTTTGGAAAGTTGTGCTTCACTACAACCATTAACCAGCAATTGAGTTACACAACTCTCATGGAGAGTGGCGTACAAAGCATCATTGACAACAGACTGCTTCCTCCAAAGTAAGTTTTACTTTCTGACTCTTGCATTGCTACTCACTCACTCACTCACACACACACACACACACACACACACACACACACACACACACACACACACACACACACGCACGCACGCACACGCACGCACACACACGCACGCACGCACGCACACGCACACGCACACGCACACGCACACCACACCCACACTCTCTCTCTCTCTCTCTCTCTCAAATCGAAACATCATGTTTTTTAATTAATCAAAGTTACAAATGTAAAGGGCTGTTTCATCCATACTGTGTATTCTGTATTCTAATAACGTTTTCTACTTTCTCTACAACGATTAAAAACTATAATTAACAATCTTATTTATGTATTCTCACAGCATAACTCTCTCCATGGTGAACATATATTACACCGAGCTGGGCTTCACGGAATACTACGAACGCATCCCAACTTTCATCACATGGTTCAGTATGTATCGATCAAACGCAGTCTTGCTTTTCATTAAGATATCCATGTTTCATTACTTATTCATATACTTCTAAAAGTTGATTTAGATATAACGCTTTCATGAGACAATTTTCACACTTACATTTCTGCTTTACGTACGTAGTCCTGTCACCATATATCTCAACCAAAGGTTATCATAAGTTTTCTCACTACTACGTTGTTCTAGACCTTTCCTCACCTCACATGCTTATACGTAGTGGACATTTCTCTTGTCCTTCCAGGTGACCTTGGCGGGCAGATGGGGCTGTTCATGGGTGCCTCTTTCATCACACTGGTAGAACTTATATTCACCGTGTGCTACGTTCTGCGTGTTCTCTTGACTCGTGGCTTGAGGGTCCTCATGAATAAAGTGTGTGGCAACAACACGTAACATTTTAGATAATTGTGATATATATCTTTTGGTCCACTTTGTAATATACAGTATCTCTAGTGAAGTCAATACCTGTAAGAAAACCTGTTATATTACGTTGTTTTATTTATTCATTTATGTTTTATAACCTAGGAATGTATGTTAACTTTTGGTCTTTTATTTAACATTTTCAAAGTACTACATTATAAACCCCAAACATTCTTATCAGACAAAGGCAACAAACTAACTTTATCCAGTATCATTAATAAGATATTTTTATCTGTATGTAACGTAGGTGATAAAAGTTCTGATGATTAAATATTCACCCCGAATATAGCAGCGTATTTTGACCTTTACTGTAAATATATATTGTGGTAACAGACATGACAAGAAGGTCGCTGTTGCAAGACTATTAACCAGTGAATTACATCTTCAATATGGCTAAGAACAGATGTGTAGACTTTTAACTTTGTTATATGCAAACGTCCAAAAATGTTTATCCAAATACATATTCTTGAGGTCAGTAAGGTAAATGCTATACAATGTCTTTGATCCATCAATTAAAATTTGAATCAAGAAAATGGGTACGCTCTAGAAAACCTAAGAAAATGCATGAATCTCAATAGTTCTCTCCAATTACCGAGTAATCCAAATATGTGACAAATAAACTTAACTTACGTTATTTTATATCAAACACCGATTTACAATAATGAAATTACAAATAAATCGGACATGAAATGCAACATACCAAACCAAAGAAAACTGAATACCTGGCAAGGGAAACTAAGCTAAACCTGTTTATGATGCCTCGTAGCAGACGATATGTAGGTCATAAAACTTGCAAGAACTGCGCACGCGTTTGTTTTGAATGTGCTGCCAGCAGTCACCAAAAACTGTTGATATTAAAACATCGCCTATATCACAGGTATGAATAACGTGCATCCTTAATTATCTGACCCTAGTACTAGTTATCGTACAAAACACGAAATGTACGTGATGAAGTCCGTAGATTTTTACCTGGCTGTAGCGTTCCCCGTGTCCGCAACTTGGAAATCTGAAGCTACAGTTTTCAACACAAAGTTCCAGCAAAACACGTTTGGATTCTCTTCTCGTTGTTGGGTCAGCTTATCAATTGGCCACTTCCACTTTTCAGATCACAAATAATAGGGTAAAGATAGAACATGATAAATTGGCTTGCGAATTGCAGACATCGCACCTGCAGCCAAGGATTTCTCAAATAAATCTTTGCGGTCAAAAAAAGAATATTTATATTTTAATAAGAATGCCTACAATCATAAGAAACTGGCATATATATATATATATATATATATATATATATATATATATATATATATATATATATATAAACACATACGCATAAAAATATATGCATATGCCATTTTTCTCTCTATATATACATGTATACATATTATTGTTATTAATAACTTGAGAAGGAATCCCTTTTATGTTGTACATCCACATAACTCATATATACATGCATGTATGTATGTATGTATGTATATGTGCACATATATGTATGTTCATATATATATATATATATATATATATATATATATATCATATAAATTTATATATAAATATAAATAATTAAATAATATATATACATATATATATAAATAAATAAATCATATATATATATATATATATATTATATAATATATATGTGTATATATATATGTATATATATATATATATATATATATATATATATATATATATATATATATAGAGAGAGAGAGAAGAGAGAGAGAGAGAGAGAGAGAGAGAGAGAGAGAGAAGAGAGAGAGAGAGAGAGAGAGAGAGAGAGAGAGAGAGAGACTATATACATATATATAATATATATATATATATATATATATATATATATATATATATATGTATATGTGTGTGTGTGTGTGTGTGTGTGTGTGTGTGTGTGTGTGTGTGTGTGTGTGTGTGTGTGTGTGTGTGTGTGTGTGTGTGTGTGTGTGTCTGTGACTTATGCATGTGGGATGTATTATCATTATTATATCTTTTCATTGACAGCATTTGAGTAGATATATATATAGAATCTTGAAATTTGTTGGTTTTGCTCAAGCCAGAAATCTTGATATTTTCCCCTTCCACACACACACACACACATGTGCGCGCACACACACGCATGCACGCACACACACAGACACACAGACACACACACACACACACACACACACACACACACACACACACACACACACACACACACACACACACACACACACACATCTATTTGTTAACCAGATACTGCAGTACAGATTAAAAAGAAAAAGAAAGAAAAAAATCTATAATCTGATTTAGCCTGCTAATGCTGGAGTAACACAAATACACACCATGTCCACTGTGTTTGTTTGTTTTTTGTTTTGTTTATTAATTGTCTTTACACACTGTTGGCTCCACAAGGGCTTAATCACCGAGTAGTCAATTACTCTAATTATACCTATCTCCCCTGTTTACCCCTTTCTTTATTTTTCCCAAAGATTCTTCAATTTTTATTGCTATTAGTGTTGTTAATAACAGAATAATAATCATATTGTCAATAATGATATTAGCTGCATTAGAAAAAAAAAGAAAGAAAGAAAAAAAATCTGATAAGTTAAGGAAGAGGAAAATCAGGTGTGGTCATGTAGGTGTATTAATTAACTTCTTTGTAGCCGAACACTTGCGGAGCCATCTATGTGCAATAAAATTCAGAAAAGAAAACTACATAAACCAGGCTGCAATTAATTAAAATATAATCAAAACCATTGAAATACTTCTTTCATCCTGTATATATTGCAATCACATCACAGAAATTATTCAGTAAAATATGATGATGAAATACAGGACTTATATAAATATTAATAGATGTGTACATAAGTAAGAGTTTTTCTCAAACAAAAGTTATTCATTGTTTGGGGGCAGTGGCTTTGACACTGGCCAAGTAATGACAAAAGTAAGGTATAACAAATACTATTTTTAATATAAAATATCTGAGTCATATTTTTGTGCTTTAAACATTATTGCATTATTATTACAATGACCTAGGGGTGACAACTTAATGAAATTTAGTGATAATTAATGATGGATATAATTCTGCATTGAAATTATGAAATGAAAATCAAGTATAGGTTGAGAAAACAATATAATTATAACATTCATTTTCTATATTTTCATGTAATATTTTGTGATGTAATGCAATTATCTATGGTTATGAATTTATTTTCTATATTTCTTGTGTTATAAAAATCTTGAATAAAGTTTTTCTTTCTTTACTTTTTTTCATTTAACCATTATATATTAATTTCCAATATAACTAAAGTATTTTCCACAATTGCATTCTCTTCATTACACTTTTTGTACTGTTTCTTAGTATACACAACTAAAACTATGATCTATTTTCTGATAACATTTTATACAGAATGTTTTGTGTGCTGATTAATGAATCATATATTATACCCACTTCTAAAGACAGACAGACAGACAGACAGACGCACACACATGCACGCACAGATGCGCGCACACACAGACACACGCACGCACAGACGCACACACACATGCATAAACTCTCTCTTTCTCTCTCTCTCTCTCTCTCTCTCTCTCTCTCCTCTCTCTCTCTCTCTCTCTCTCTCTCTCTCTCTCTCTCTCTCTCTCTCTCTCTCTCTCTCTCTCACACACACACACACACACACACACACACACACACACACACACACACACACACACACACACACACACACACACACACACACACACACACTGCGAAATTCCTTCAACAGAGGTCATGACTACAGATTATATAAAGCATGCATGATGAAAGCATGTAATTTTTACATTGCATGTCATGTAAGAACTCCGATATGCATGTACAATATTCAATAGTGCAGATGTGTTTAATACTGATGCATGCCACCTCGACAAAAAGTGAAAATGGCCCATGTCTATACCATATGACAATTGTTTTCTTTCTTTTCAGACTATATTTATTTAATTACTTCTACATTTATTCAAATTTTGAAATAAACATAGAAAAAGCCTGTAAAAAAAATCATTCATTGCAGATGTTAAGTGACCTGTAGCCCTGCCCTGTTGGTCGCCACCTCCAGCTATGTGCCAGGAATAGGGTTCATTATCACTCAGGCATCAGAGAACCTTGAACTCCTGAACGCTAGACTAGCAGTCAGACTGGTACTCAGTCCACTGACCCATTGGGCACACAGGAAAAAGAAGAGTGGAAATGTCAGAAACAAACTGTATAAAAAGTGAAAAATGCTTGTCAGGAGAGGTTTAACCATTAAAGGCAGAAAACACTATTAAGAGTATATTGCTACAAGTATGGGATTTTATATCTTATGGTCTATTACCAACACATAATACATGAACATAAGCCAGGAGTTTTAGCAATTTCCTAGTTTCATTTTGCTGAATCAAAGGGTAGATTTTTTTGGTATATCTGCCAATTATTATTATTTTTTTAGCATCATAAATGAGGAACCCTGAGACATTTCAAACACTGTATATATATATACACACAAACACAATATACATATCTATCTATCTGTCAATCTATACATACTATATTACTATGTAATAGTACCTATTTTCAATGGTAAAGGTGATGTCCAAGAATGTAATAATTGTAAAGGCATTAAACTGACATCCCACACTTTGAAAATATTGGAAAGAATTATATATGGCAGACTATGAGAGGAAGTACATATAGGGAAAGAACAGTTAGGATTTATGAAAAGAAGCGGAACATCTGATGGAACACTTTGCCTTATGCAGGTAATGGAAAAAATCAGAGAAAAGCAAAGAGAGCTACATATGGTATTCATATACCTTCAAAAGGCCTATGATAGAGTACCAAGACAAGAAATTTGGAGATGCCTGAGAGAAGATGGTTCCTGAAAAGTATGTTAGAATGATTTAAGAAATGTACAGGAATGCAGTCACCAGGGTGAGAAGCAGTGTTGGAGGGACAGATGGATTTGAAGAAAAAGTAGGACTACACTAGGGGTCGGCACTTGGCCTGTTTATCTTCAACATGGTGATGGATGTGACGACCAGGAAATGTAAAAGAGACAGTGCCATGGAGCATGTTGTATGCTGATGACATTGTATTGTGTGCAGAGGGGAGGGAGGATCTAGAGATAAATTTGGAAAGGTGGAGAACAGCATTGGAGGAAAGAGCAATGAGAATAAGTAGGTCCAAAACAGAATATATGTACACCAGCATTGATGGGGGAAGCATAAGGCTGGATGGAGAAGAACTAAAGAGAGTACAGAAGTTTAAGTACTTGGGGTCCATAGTGGATGCTAGTGGGAACATGGATGAAGAAGTGAAGCATCAAATACAGGCAGGGTGGAACAACTGGAGTTCTACCTCTGGGGTCCTTTGACAAGAAAGTACCTCCAAGACTGAAGGGAAAGTTTCATAGGACAGTTATTAGATCAGCTATGTTGTATGGAACAGAAACAGTAGGTATGAAAAAGACAGAGGAGAAGAGGATGGATTTTGCAGAAATGAGAATGTTGAGGTGGATTTCTGGGGTGTCAAGAGAGGATAGGATTAGGAATGAGTACATAACAGGGTCAACAAAGGTAGTAGAAATATCAAAGAAAATGCAGGAAGGGAGACTGAGGTGGTATGGACACCTACTGAGAAGGGACACAGA